ATAGTAATAATAATAATAATAACAATAGTTCGTTGAGATCTGTAAACAATATTATACATGTATAGGATTTTTTAGGAATTACTTCCGTGATGACTCACTATAACTTGATGCTATTTGTATGCTTTTGACATTTATGAACCCGTAATAGTAAACCAAATTCCATCAAGAATCAACTATATCAGTTCTTGCCAACCTGGGCGGTTTGGTTATTTTGGTGGGCGGTGGGGATCACCCGGGTTGGGATAGATTGTGGGGCTTGATTGAAATCAAGCAGTCGTCAAAATAATGAAATTGGAGAAACAGACACTTTTCCTCCAGTTTGGAAATTTTCATGGATATTGTTTTTTTGTGTTTTTTTTGCAAGTTGACTTTACCTCTTTTATGCCCATATAAAACACATTTCCAAGTGAATGTTACAGAAAAACATTTATTAAAGGCACCAAATATTAGATTTTTCAGTTTTCAAAGACTCTTTAGCTGTTGGAGTTACCAAACTTTGGCCACCATTTTCTCGCTAACTTTACCACTGACACCAGGCGACCTCACTTCCTTCAATCGCAAATATTTTGAGTTGTATTCAAGATAAAAAGATACTTCTTTCATTGGGAGCAAGGCAAACAAATCAGCTTTCAGATGATAATTATAACTACACATGCCCAAAAATTGACGAGCGCCTGATTCCATTGCGTCGTGAAACATATTATTTACTATCACACTTGACTTCTACGTTATGTGGGTGGGAAGTATGAAATGTTAAGCCTCTGAAAGGTAGAAAAAGTGGGTTGGCAAGCACTGAATGGTTAGATTTTTTAAAGTTTTGGTAGAGATTTTACACTGCGCTCGCAGTTGCATAATGTCATATGGGCGCCATAATTAGATTTGTTCTTAATCTTTGCCCTTTCCTTTTTTTTCGTCTACGTCTCCAGCACGTTCCACATTCGGATCTAAGCGATGACGAAGACCAAGCTCTGATGTACCCTCAGACGAACCGCCAAGTGGATTCACCAGCAGAACGATGACAATAGATGGCAATGTCTGTTTTCTCCAAGTGTTTAGAACCAATAGCACTTCTCAAAACTTCTTTAAAGCTTACCTGTCGCCGAAAAAGTAGCAATCTGTCATTCTACAAGTGTTTAGAACCAATAGCAGTTCTCAAAACTTCTTTAAAGCTTACCTGTCGCCGAAAAAGTAGCAATCTGTCATTCTACAAGTGTTTAGAACCAATAGCACTTCTCAAAACTTCTTTAAAGCTTACCTGTCGCCGAAAAAGTAGCAATCTGTCATTCTCCAAATTTGTCGCTTTTAAGGACAAGCGGGCTAACCCAGATATCGGTTGTTTCCAGAAATCTTGACCCACACCAAAAGTGGGCATTGCCCTATCTATAGGAGAAGTTTGATTTCAATGGTGTGTATATATGTTTGGTTATAGAGAAAACTCTCCTTGTCTTTTATAGAAACTGAACAAGGGTTCAAAAACTTTACCTTCAATTTTCTCAAAACAGCATTTTTCGGGATAGCCCCATTGTGCTTAAAAGTGACCAATTATGAAACTGACCTAATACTAAAGGATACATTTTGAATGTAACGCATTTTTGAAGTCTCAAGAACGGAATCTACGAAGAAAGCAGGAACTTGAATACATGTTTATAACCTTCAGCTTCCACGCTTTCATTTTCTGTCTGGGTTCACAGATTCTCTCTCTCTCTCTCACACACTCTCTCTCTCTCTCTCTCTCTCTCTCTCTCTCTCTCTCTCTCTCTCTCTCTGTTTATCCATAGCATACATTTGCATTTTCCTCTTTATCTTTCTCTCTCTCTTTCTCTCACTTTCTCTCTCCCTCCCTCTCTCTCTCTCTCTCTTTCTCTCTCTCTCCCTCTCTCTCTCTCTCTCTCTCTCTCTCTCTCTCTTCTTCTTCTTCTTCTTCTTCTTCTTCTTCTTCTTCTTCCTCCTCTTCTTCTTCTTCTTCTTCTTCTTCTTCTTCTTCTTCTTCTTCTTCTTCTCTCGGTAGACAGATAAATGAAATGGGTATACAAATATGAAAATGGGGTTTTTTTCTGTTGGAGGAAATCGAACCAAATTGTTCATTTACTTGACAGATTATTTTGGCCGAGTCGTCTGAATAGATTTCCCTTTTGTTGACGAATGAATGTTCACACGGATGAAAAAACGAAGTTGACGTTTCTGATTAAAACTTGAACTTTGTTTAGAATACTTTCGAGTCGTTTGATTATGTTATTATAGACTTGATTTCTTCCTATTTATTTCTTTTTCTCCTTACGTTTCAATTGTCACATTCATCTTTGCTGACTACAAGTCGTGTGGAAAATCATGTGACTGTGTTATTGATTTCATTTTCAGAACGCGAGGGTGATTCTTTTCCTTGTTATATTTGTATAAAAGTACATGTACAAACAGATTAGTATGTGCTGCTGGCTTTTGT